TTGTTTAGGATTAATTGTTAGTAAACAAATACAAACAACTTCATATGAATACAGTTTATATTTGATTTATTATGAAGTACATGACAAGAATTGGATCATGAATATATGCATCAAATGCATCTGATTTTATTTTAATATACAATGCATTGCAAAGAGATGGTATCAACAAGCTATTCAATTATTATATATTCAATTAAAAATTTCATCAATTGACCAAAAAGAATCATCTTATCAATCCATTGATGGATGCATTAGGTCATTTTTTTTAGATAATCATTTTGTTGCATTTAACCTTTTACTCCCCCATAGCGGTTCTCGAAGAGCCACTGATAAAATAAGTTTATTAATGGAATACTAGCTCCCTACTATGCCAATGGTGTGGTCTGATCCACCGAATGTCCTGCTCCTAGAGTTGGGCGGTTTGATTGATCCACCAATCATGTGGTGGATAGCGCGAACTGAACTACATCGTAAGGCTTGATTTGTTTTCTTTGACCACAACATTGAGTGAACAGAAACAACATCTATCTCGCGCTATTAAAGTAATAGAAAAAAGGCAAGGAGTGAACTGATAAAAGTTAACACCAAAAAGTAAACATGTATTTTTTATCCGTGTTGCCAAATGATAGGCTAGTTTGTTCTGAGCCGTTTAATAACCTGTGAAGAAATTTAATTCATTATAAATACGATTACGACTTATGATAAGTTGAGCTTTCTAATAGATGTATTAACTCTGTTCTTGATTACCTTCCATCTGCTACATGGTGGCTACATGATCAATGGTGTCTCCTTGTATGTGTAACTCGCGAAGTTCTCATGAAACTTTCGAAACGTATTTAATTCACGAGAGGACTTCTTCGTCAACTCATATCACACAACAACTGTCAAAAAATCTCTGTTGGCTACGAATAGAGAATATTTTCTGGCAAAAATTTTGATTTTTTTTTCGTTTTTTCAAAATTATCGATTTTGTAGGTCCAATATTTAAGTAACGAAGCAATGAAGAGAAATGTTCTTTTTGTCAATCAACCCAGGCGAGCAAAAAATAAGGAGTGACGCCCGACATGACTAGTCTAAAGTGTCCGTAGTACCCGTCTGGACTAGTCTAAAATGTCTGCACTGCCGTTTGGACTAGTCTGAAATGATTTGCAGCAAGTCAGGACTAGTCGTCTTCACGAGGGACGTCTTGCATCTAAAATAGACCAGTCCAAAACATGCTCTAATCTTGTCATGGCTAGTCCGTTTTGTATGTGCATACTGTCCAGACGCGTCAACTTGAAGGCAAAAACTAGAAGAAACGGAGGCGATAGGTGGATTCGAACATTCAAGCCGACAATATTGGATACCTGACTAGTCTGAACTGTTTTCAATGAGTAACGCGGACTAGTATGAAGAGTCATCTATATTGGTCATGACTAGTCGTTTTCGAGAAAGTAATGCTAATTCTGGTCCAGGCTAGTCTATCCTTCCAAACAGTCTTTATTGCTTGGACTTAATCATTCGGACAATTCGTTTTGACTAGTTTGTATTGGGACTAGAACGATGTATCTAATGAGAGTTGGCTATTTATGTCCTTTTAAATTTTTAAATTGTAATAACAATCAAGAATAATTTTATTCGAAAAATTAATTTTAATGCATTGATATAAGGATATTATTTTATTTCAATATAAAACCTAATGATTTGAATTTAAAAATGGATTTAAACGGTGGAATCATAGTTCATTTTCAAATTTAAATAGGAAATATTTTAAATTAAGATAAACATAAACCATTAGATGAAAAGCAAGATCTTTTTTTGAAATGTATATTATTATTTTGATTTTGATTTGAATTTTAATTGTTTGTTCCAATAGAAAATAATTTTTTCTATATGTCGATAATCAAAAAAAAATTCTGTTGAAGGAAATTAAAAAAATTCTGAATTAATTTTGCTTAGCTTTATTTAACTAATTTTCGATTTTATTACAAGTAGTTTCTATAAATATTAAAACTTGAGAAAACGCTGAGTCAAACTGTAGTAATTAGTGTCTTCAGATGTGTATTGACATGTAAAAGTTGATCACTAGATCATATGGCTCAATCGGGTAGACGACGAGTAAGTAACACAAGGTATGCATGTACGAATCTAACTTTCTGCACATATTTCTATCATTTAGACTAGTCCGAACTAGACCGCTACATAAGACTGAAACCTAATAGATGTCGCGTCACAGGCGCTCTGCCTTTTTTAATTTAAAATCTATTTTCGGACGGGATGCCCAGACGGGGTTAAAGATTCCAACCCATTTTGGACTAGTCATGTAGTAGGACTTTTTGAGAAAAAGACTAGACATGACGCATAGTCACGACTAGAAAAATGACTAGTCTTTTTACCCGTCCTTTGCTCGCCTGGGAATAGCCCATGAAGTTTACTACAAAAAAGGTTCTTATCGCCTTTAAATCTGATGCTTTCTTTAGTTTCTGCAACTGTTCTAAAAATGGTCATTCCAGTGACAGTAGAGAGGAGGGAAGGGGAAGGATAAAGAGTTAAATTTCAATCAAAATTGAATATGTTATCACGATATCTGTGATGTTCATAACATTAGAGAACAGATGGTCATCTAGTGTGATGGTTAAAATAGTAGTATTATACTCTTATTCATTCTAAAAGAGAGATTTAGTTGCTTATATGAAATAAAGGATGCATTTTGTATTTAGCAATGATTAGGAGATTGTTGTAGAAGACCATTTCTGCCTAATATTGAGATAACTAGTAGAATTTGAATCTTACGTTAGTAGAATATTATTATTTGACAATTTATTCTAGATTAAATTTTTTGAAAATTAGATCTTTTTCTTCTCATCAAAAATAATGAATAATCCTACATCATTATTTCATTGAATTAATTCCATAGCAAACAATTAATCAAATACGATATTTCAATATTTGAACATGAATTATATATAAATTTCCTTCATTTGCATGTTCAACAATTATCGAAAGAATTTTTAACATGTTGATTTAATTGAATAATGTATAGAAAAAAATGTTAAAATAGGTAATTCAATGAATGAAATTGATTCATTAATTGATTATGTCTTACAATGTGATATGATCGAACAATTAATACATTATAAATCAAATGAAATGTCATAGAAAGAAAGACTTTCAACAATTAATTTATCAAAATTAAATCACTTAAAATTAGAAGAAATATATTAAGAAATGTTACAAGATGAAAGATATTTATTTAATTTGCAATACCAATCATTAGATATTTATATCTAAGAATAATCTCTTCAACAACCATTTATTCTTTTCTATAAAATTATTTCAAATAAATACAGCTTCGAACAAATTTCCTTTTGAAATAAACGATTTTAGTCTGAGAATTAATTGCAATAGTATAGAACACAAGATTTTCATTCGATTGATGACTTTTTCTATTCTATTAGCTTCGAATATTCACATACAGTACTGGACAAATATATAAGAACAACATATTTCTTTATTTTTTTCTGTAATAACAAGCATCTAACTCAAATCCAAATAGTGATTCAGATAGTCAATAAAGAGCTCTATCAAATTCATCCTATACCAAAATTCTATAGATGATTTAAGGGAGCAAGGTTTCTAGAAAACCAAAACCCATATTTTTCAAGTTCTAGAAGACTTCATAATAATTCGTTTCTAACACCACCATCTTAAAGAACACAAAATTGTGAATAAAATGAAGGGTCGCCGCATTTTCTACGATCTTCCCTTCAAAAGTTATAAGCATCACAAAAAAATCGAAAAAAAGTGAAATTTATCAATAAATCGCTACAAATCGACTAAAAAATCGTGTTTTTTCGATTTTTGTGATGCTAATAACTTTTGAAGGGAAGATCATAGAAAACAAGGCGACTCTTCATTTTGTTCGCAATTTTGTGTTCTTTAAGATGGTGGTGTTAGAAACGAATTATTATGAAGTCTTCTAGAACTTGAAAAATATGGGTTTTGGTTTTCTAGAAACCTTGCTCCCTTAAATCATCTATAGAATTTTGGTATAGGATGAATTTGATAGAGCTCTTTATTGACTATCTGAATCACTATTTGGATTTGAGTTAGATGCTTGTTATTACAGAAAAAAATAAAGAAATATGTTGTTCTTATATATTTGTCCAGTACTGTATATTCAGAGGCTTTTTTTAAAGAAATCATCATATAGATTTTTTTGTTTGTTTAGATCGATTTGTCTACTTTATATCATGTTTATTCAATCTTGTAATTGTAAAACTTGATGATCTAACTAATACATCAAAAGAAGAACATCGTGATGATTTGAAATTGGTATGTAATCTATACAAAAAATTCGTTGATCTGATAAATCTAATAACAACTAACATTTCATTTAGATCATATGAATCATCTAAATGATGATGATGAAGATAATGCATCAAATTTCTATCAAATATAATCTCTAATCGATTCTCACTATTGAAATCCCCGGAAGTCCCAAAAAGTCAAATAAAAAGTAAGAAAATCTTTGGAGAATTTCTTGGAGAGAGTTTCTGAAGGATTCCTAGGGAGTCCCCGAGGGATCCTTCAGGGGTTTCCTCCAAGAACTCTTCCAAAGATTTTCTTGCTTTTTATTTGACTTCTTGGGACACTCGACAGAGATTTCATCACAAAATTTTCCTTGTTTTGCTTCACTTCCCGGGAACTCACGACAGGAACTTCCTGGGAATTTCGTGAATTTGCGGGGACTCTCCGAGGATTTCAATAGCGAGAGTCGATTAGGGATCGATTCGAATTCAAATGATTGACATTTATCATGATCTTAATCGTTTTTGGATTATTCAATCCTATAAAGAAGAGTGTTTGGCGTTGGATTCTTCATCGAAAGGGAAAATTTGTAAGTTGAATTTTAAAAAAAAATAGGAAGATGTTCACAAATTTTTTTTAAAATTTTGATGATGGTTATTCTAGTGCTGTTTTATAATAACTAATTAGAATTTTATCCAATAGAAAATTCAATGAAAATGGGTGCAAGTGATTTTGCTATTCAATTAGCTTAGTTTAATGTACTTCTAATTTGCTCATCTATCACGATCATTATTAGTACCATATTATCATCTTCTTCATGAACATCCGAAATCTTTACATCGTTTTTATTCTTCATCATCAACATTTACGTATGATAATCCAATTCAAACTATTACTGGTACAGAAGCAATTGCTAAATGTATTGAAGAATTATCTTTAAAACAACGTCATGTAAAAATTCGTCAAGTTGATTGTCATTCAACTTTTGGTTCATCTGTTGTTGTTCAAGTTTGTGGAGAAATATCTTCTACCTCAATCAATAATCTTCAAAGTCAACCATTTATGAAACATTTTGTTCAAACATTTGTTTTAACATCAGCAGATAATTTCGAACAAAAATATTATGTACACAATGATATTCTTCGTTATTAAGATAGTCAAATATCAAATTTAACTAATGATACGAATACAAAAACTTGATTAACAGTCATTTAAACAGCAATAACACCATCAGCAGTGAATAATATTGAATTTTTTGATAATACAATTACGAAAAAAAAAGAAGAGAAAGATAAATTAAATACATCATCAACGACGAATATAACACCACCAGTAACATCTGTTGTTGAGCAAACATTAAAACCAAAATCATATCTAGATGCAATTGGAAAAAAAGAAAAAACTGCAGCAACTACTTCAACAGAAAATCAACCAACAACAACAAACACAATATCAAAATAAATCAAATAAACAACAAGAAAAGGCAGCAAAAGCCAGTGAAAATAATAATACTAATCGAGCAACACGTAGTCATCCAGAAGATATGAATAATTATTATTATGATTCATGGTATTATGGAAATGGTGAAGAAGATTATCTTTCAACTGGTTATACAGATGATCAAGAAGTATTTGTTGGAAATCTTTCCATTCAAGTAGCAAAAAACGAAGTAAAATTATCAATGTGTTTTTTTTCTTTTGTTTTGATAAATAAAAATTTTTTTTTATTTAGATTGATGAATTATTTTGACTATATGGTAGTCTTCTTCTTGTTCGTATTGGTAATACAGGATCTCAAGTTGGTGCTGAGAATTTTGCTTTTGTTGTTTGTCAGTCAATTGAAATGGCTAAAGCAATTCTTACTGATCATGAAAATCTTTTAAAGATACAACAAAATCAATGTTGAAGAAAAAAAAAAACGTCGTCCTTTTCCACATACATTTCGTCCAACATATTCAACAGCTGCTTCACCAACAAGCTATCAATCAATTGATTGTCCTGCATCATTTTATAATCAATCAGCATATTATGAAGGTGTTCCAACTCGTGATGCTCGAGTTGCTGGATAAGGAGAAACGAAATGATTTCTTTTTCTTCTTTTTGTTTCTTTATTCACTTGTTTGTTTATCATAACTATTAACGTTTTTTTTCCTTTTCTTCTAGATGTTTTCAGCAGAAGAATCCAATTATGGAAAACGAGGATTGGGAAGAATAAGAAGAATTCGAACGTATAATGTATGGATTTTGGCAGTTGTTGCTGATCGAGTGTTCAAAAGTGTAAATTAAATTTAAAAAAGGAAGATGAATATGTTTTGAAATTGTTTTTAGATTTTGATGATGGTTATGCTGGTGATGCTTTATGTGAACGAATTAGAAATTTATTTAACACAAAAATCAATGAAAGTTGGTGCATATCTTTTTAGTGTTAGATTAGTTTATTTTTGTGTACTTTTAATATGCTTATCTATGATGATTATTTGTACTACAATCAAGTTTGTTTATATGTATTTATTTGCGCATGGATTTTTAACAGTAAAACGATTGGTTATGATATATTCTCCTGTATACGTAAGAGAAGTCATGTGAGTTTTTCAACAAACAATTATTTATTTTTTAGGATAAAGTGATTGATTGGATATTTATGATCGTCAATGCAATTATGATTGTAGTGTTGTTCAAAGATATTTCATATGTACTTTTCGTAAGACTCTTAATAACTTTACAATAATCATGATTATTATATTTATTCACTTTAGGGTTTCAGTGTGGCATTGGTTCTTGGTTTTATTGCTGGTATATGGCTTCTTCACGAAACAGTAGTTGTAATGATCCCATCGAAAAAAACAACATCTGATGTAGGTATGCAAACATCAGTAGCAATAACAAGAATAACACGTCGAGAAACATTACCAAGAACAACAGCTGATTTAAATATCTAAAGACGTTTTTTTCTCTTCTTTTTTTTCCTTTTTTTTATTGTTGAGATAAAGCTAGTGATAGAACTATTTTAAAGAATCTTCTTATCTTGCGCTTGCATTGAAACATTTTATTTAAAATGACATATGATTCTAAATGTGTAATGTCTCCCAATTATGGTCTGATTTGAAGTTAACTGTTAGATAGTGATATTCTATCGAACTCCGAATTCTACTAATCATTTTACTGCTCCTCATAAATCTCTTTCAGAGATATTATTATTTGAATTTTTCAACTATTGGTTGTAAAACTTGGAATAAGGTTTTCTTTGGATCACATCGAACACATAAAATTTTTGTAGGAATATCAATACGAATCAATATACGAGATTCAACACGAACTTCACTTTCACATAAACTTAATAATGGTTCTTGAATATCAATAGGTTGCTAACAACAAAGAAGGATGTCGTTCATAATAATAGAAGAAATAATAATCGAACAGCTATCAACATCAACCAATATTAAATGTCAAAAATAATCTAATTAAAACTTTTTTCAATCTGATTACATTTTACATTCAATTAATGTTATCCACTAAAAACCGTTGGTTCTATTAGATAGAATATATTTACCTGATCTATTGTATATAGTTCTGTTCGGTATACCATCTAATTCCTCGTTTAGCAAGTAAATGGCTAATCGCTTGTTGAATAGTATCGGACGAATTATAGGTCACAATAATCGTTAATGTAGAATCCGGAAACATAAAACAACAAAAGCGAGATGTATCTATTGATGATGTTGATGGATATTCCTATGAAGAAAAGAAACAAATCTTTATAGACTGCTCGGAAACCATGCAATTGATTTTTGAACCAAATGTGAGACCGCAGCTATGGCGTGGTTTTTTTTACTAGATTCATCTCCATTTTATGCAGTGTCTTATACAGTGCAGGCGTGTGGTCAGGGAATGCTCCCCCTCCTTCAATAGGATTTTAATTTTCTTAGGTTTGCAGTGAACGATACTTTGGAACTCGTTTCTGACCTAACGGAAGAAATTCTTCAGTGACAAATCGCTTTTTCTTCGAAACATATACGATTGTATGCACAGTCACTCGTTGATATAAATAACATGGTCTTAGAGGCATTTAGACCGTCATACATCCTATGCCCTATCTACCAAACCACTTGTAAGAAGGTTAACCTTTATCGAATTCAATTTCTAATTTGTCTTACATGTGTCACTGGATAAAATAAATGTAGATATATTTTCTTTCGAACTCCTCACCCATAGGTTTCAAATACTTATCTATTTAGACAGCAATTGTATTGTATGCTGATTAGGAAGAGTCATCTAGTATTAGATTTCGTTTTTTTTTATGGATTCACAAACCAATAATAAATATGCTATAATGAGTGAAGTATATAACAATTGAAGGTGTGTGTATACGGAGCAATGTGTTAATTTCTGAAAATAAAAAACAACATAGATTTTAAAGCAAGCGATAAATCGGGTAAGGTTAAGTGGTAAAAATACATAAGATAAATTTCTTTTCTATTATTTGATTTTGACGAAAGAAATTACTTCTTAAAAGACACTTCAAGCATATTGAGTGTTTTTCTGTGCTACAATACAACTTGATACTTGAAATCCAAGGGTAAAGTGTTACAATCAGTTATTAGTAAATGCTAATCCAAATAAATAAAAACTAAATTGTTATTAATTTTTTCACCTAAAATGATCAGTATGTATTAATATATCGTCAGAACAAACCAACATTCGATGATATAAATCATCTGTGTCAGTATTATACATCTCATGCATCGCGTATAACACAAGAAGATGGTTTAGATAAACTCATTTATTTAACATTTCCTTATATACATTGAAATTTTGTATTAAGGAGTCCCCCTTAGAAAATCGAATTTTTCAAAAAAATAACGAAGTTGAGTTTTGTAAAACACGATCTGAAAGGAGTGGTGAAGTGTTTAGGGGTAGAAATTTGAACCCACTCCCCCTCCCTCCCACAGACCGTGATAGACACTCACGTGACCCGTCACAGACTGTGATAGACAGGGTCTGGACCCATCACAGACCGTAACAGACAGATCTCTGGACCCATCACAGACCGTGACAGACAGGTCTCTGGACTCATGACAGACCGCGACAGACAGGTTATCGATCCGTCACAAACCATGGCAGACAGATTTTGGACTCGTGAGAGACAAGACTCATGAATCATTATAGACTGTGATAGAGGACTTCAAGGAAATATCAGATATGATGCATACCTAACATGTGATTGAAGCATATATGGAGTATTATACTTTTGAAAGTATATAATGTAAGGTAAGCTATTATGAAGAAATATACATCAGTATCCATAAAAAAAACAACAGCTTCTAGAATATCGGCTATCACAGCTACATCGTGTTTCACATTTTTAATCCCGCAAGGGATTGCGCTAACAGCTTTTTATCACAGAAAGATGCAGCGAAGCGTCCTCTTTCCAGTGGTGTCAAACTTGAAACTTGAATTCAATTGAGTTTTCAAGTTTCAAGTGAGTTTTCGATTTTCAAGTTTCAAGTTTCAACTTTCAACTTTCAACTTTCAACTTTCAACTTTCAACTTTCAACTTTCAACTTTCAACTTTCAACTTTCAACTTTCAACTTTCAAGCTTCAACTTTCAACTTTCAACTTTCAAGCTTCAACTTTCAACTTTCAATGAAAATACAGACATTTTGGAGATATTGATTCACTAGTGCAGATAATTTTTATATACTGATTGACTTTGAATGCTGATCCATTCAGATATATATTCATTCAACTTATCAATCCTCGCTCGACAAAATTCAAAAAATAAATAACTGTTTACTATGTCTCCTACATGCCTGAAAAGGACTGGCTGCAAAAGGAGTGATCGCGACGGGACTGATGGAGAAATGAGTGGCCACACTACGACATACATCACGTCGCAGTTGCGATGTGATGTGTGTCGTAGCGTGGCCAGTCCTTTCGCGGCACCCACAGCAGCTGCGATGTGATGTATGTCGTAGTGTGGCCAGTCCTTTCGCGGTACCCACACCAGCTGCGATTTGATGTATGTCGTAGCGTGGCCAGTCCTTTCGCGGCACCCACACCAGGTGCGATGTGATGTATGTCGTAGCGTGGCCAGTCCTTTCGCGGCACCCACAGCAGCTGCGATGCGATGTATGTCGTAGTGTGGCCAGTCCTTTCGCGGCACCCACAGCAGCTGCGATGTGATGTATGTCGTAGTGTGGCCACTCATTTCTCCATCAGTCCCGTCGCGATCACTCCTTTTGCAGCCAGTCCTTTCCAGACATGTAGGAGACATAGTAAACAGTTATTTATTTTTTGAATTTTGTCGAGCAAGAGTTGATAAGTTGAATGAATATATATCTGAATGGATCAGCATTCAAAGTCAATCACTATATAAAGATTATCTGCACTAGTGAATCAATATCTCCAAAATGTCTATATTTTCATTGAAACTTGAAACTTGAAACTTGAATTGAATTCAAGTTTCAAGTTTTACATATATGAATAACTCAACGTTAATGAAATCGATGAAATCGAATAATCTGACCCTGAGAATATTTTCAAAAATTTATGGTTTTGAACTTTCTGAGAAATTTTTTTTTTGAAAAAGGTCTGGAATCCATAATTTCCTGTGGAATGAAACAATAACAGTTAAAGAATTAATAATGACATGGTCGATTTAATTATTTAAGACGAAAGGTAATAATGAATATGAGCGACATTCGTGAAATTGATTAAAGAAGATTGATAGTGGCTGAAGTGCCATTATCCTTAGTGCGTTTGTTTCAAGGCAATGCTACTTGTAGAACGAGAGGAGCATCGTTATTTTTAATAGAAGAATCGATTTTTTTTTTTTGAAATACGAGAGAACTATTGGGTAATGGGAGAAAAAAAAAGGTTATTTTTTAGAGAATATATCCTATGCTCACAAAATTGACGAGTGTCTCTTAAAGTTTCATGAAAATGAACTACTGAAAAAAGATTAAGAAAAAAATAAAGCAATGTATGATTTATTTTAAATTGATTCTTTAGTTTGATTATATTATTGTAACGTATTTAAATAAAGAAAACAATGAAACTAATGTCTTAGAAAAAAAAACTCCGCAAATCTACTTGAAATTTGTTTTTGTGAAACACGTATCTGCTTATTGGTAGTTGTCTATCTATGATAAAACTATGAAGTTGATCAGTTGTAACGTCTCCAAGAAGTACAAGCAGTCAAAAAAGAAGATGGTACTCATAACGTCAGATTAGTTTTTAAAAGTGTTTTATTAATGTGGTCAATAACCTTGTCGTAAGCCTGATCTTTTCATACTATAAAATTTCAATATCTTGTTTAGTTGAGTGTCATGTAAAAGAGAGAATTTTAAGGGTTGATGTGAGTCTTCGATCTCATTACATTTCAATATCTATTTAAAAACTATTGCTCAAAGAACACGTATCGTTTAAGAATATTTTATAAAAGTTGAAGATTGAAATAAAAGTTGCTTATCTATGGTTCTTGTGGAAAGAAATTTACCAGTTTTTTATTTTTATTAAAGAAATATTGATCTTTTGTTAAATTTAGAACATAATTTACCATTGCATTTGTTCAACGATTTATTGTTTATCGTAGGAGTATGAATTTGAGTTATATATGGCGAATTAATTGAATTTCTTTTTGGATTGCATTCAATTTTATTGATCTATCTAGAATTATGTTCTATGTCAACATTTTATACATCTTCATCGATCAGATTAATGACAGTTTATTATAATAATATGCTGCTGATTAAAGATGTTGCTTTTTTGACACTATTCAACCGTAGAATTATAAATTTTTGTTTTTCTCAATTCATCAATTTACTATTCAATTCTACAATATCTAATAGAAAAAGGTCATGGAATTATCAATCTATCTATCTCTTCGTCTCCTACACTTAGTTAATCAACTGTGGTTCAATTGAAAAAAAGCGAGTG